TGATAATATTCGATAATATTGCATAAATGATATTGTATTTTATTAAGATTCTGATTGGAGAAAAGCSCAAAAGTTAGATGCTAGCTCAGACCACATTCTGCCGTCAACTGGCYTAGAGCTAAATGCTTTTAAAAGYATMAGTGCTGAATACCCAGAATTACCTCAGTATGTATTTCTTTCAYTWCKTTCATRCMAAWAGTRATTATTAGCTTATCRTCAGCCACAATTTATATTCATTACWTTTCAGATTTAAGGTCACTGCTGTCATCCCAAAGATCTGGTTTAAATTTTCTGATACAAAATATAAAGAATTTATGGGTTTTCTTGATCATTTTCCTTTTGGAAAAGYTGTTGATCCTACAAAGGTCACTGAAGAAGGAAAAGAGAAAATTGACAAGGTCCATATTGTACACTTTCTGCTATCCTGAATTCTCCAATTTGAAGGTACTAAATTATTTTTTATTTTGTTGTTTTAGGAATGGTCAAGGACAGCATCTACGTTRTCCCTTGAAGAAGCCAACTCTATCCAAGTCATTTGCAGAGATACCTTTCATTCTAAGACAGGTAATGGCTGTAAAAAGCGCAGTGATACAGATGATGTGATTCACATGTTAAATAATTGCGACTATGAATAGTAGTCACCTCCACATAGTTCCCTGCACCATCTTGAAKGTAGTTGTGCCTTTACATTGAAGCGAGCCACCAGTTTCAAGAGCGTGCAATGGAAGATACCTGTGAATAATTGTCTGTAGATGTAAAAGAAGGTTTCTATCATTGCACGCTCAACGGTCGTCTCGCTTCGATGCAAAGGCACAGCTAACTTTCAAGATGGTGCAGGGAAACGTGAAGAAGACTATCTTGTAAAGTGTAAATTTTTGAATTATGAAATACAAAAATATGTTATTCAAGACCAATCTTCTGGTGTTCTTGTAGACAATGAAGGGGAAACTGATGTGTGGTTTGATTCTGTYGAATACCTGCCAAGGTTAGTCCTGCAGTTGTAGTAAATAAATGCAATGCAATATGATTTAMTTCCATGTGTCAAGTTRTAAATGCACCAATATCCATTGCTTTCYGGTACCTYTTTCAAAATCTGTAGTTTTAAGACACCACAGCTCCTTGTTACATCTCACAGATGATCAAAATGTGTCCAGTTTCATGAATGGTGAATAGTGCTATCCACCAGATAAATCCTTATCAAGAAAGAACCTGCTTTTTTCATATTTTAATCTTTTTATTAAGGAAAGAAAGCAGTGCATCAAAAGCTCCAGATCTCACTCAACTTGTTGGAGAATTTGTTATCCACCAGGTAAAAACAGTCTGCAAGAGGCTGATATCATTTCACTCAAGACATTATCATCACCTATTGGAATTATATTATTATTATACAATGTTCTTCTTTTCTTAGCTTCTAGTTACCATTGATAAGGAGGATTCTTTAATAGACAAACCATTTATCAGCTTGGAAATCAAGAATCTCAGCACTAGGCTGATGGTCAGTACCTGGCATCTTAAAGTGACAATGACATTAGGATTTATAGAATTGCTGGATAATCATTTCCATGGTATGTTAGTGTGTTAAGCATAGCTCTTGAACATCTCATAGTGCTTGCTTATAATGTTTGCGAACATGCGCAAAAGCTCGAAAGGGATGCTCGAGGACCATGTCCCTTTAAGATGCATTCAATAAAGCTAAAATTCTTTTTAGCAATTCCCAGCGCCATATTTAAGTGCAAGTTGGCCGTGCGTTTGCGCTGAAGCAGGGCCGTTCTTGAGCTTTCAGTGAAATAAAGTTACATTTGAAATGATGAACATATACATCATCAAGTTAAATCGGAAATGTCAAAAATATATATATAAGATATGTACCTTTCTGAGCTTCCAATATAATTTTGCCATCGCGTGAAAAAAGTACGCCCACTCTTTTCGTATAAGGTTCTTCTCTACTAATCACGTTTCCATAATGAACCCATTTTTTCTCCGTTCTGCCTACTATTCTCAGTTCTTTTCCGCAATTGGCGTCAGACGGACAGTGCCATTTGTTTCGGATTCTTCAAGAAATTAACAAGTCTTCAGTGCATTTGAAGATCTTGATCTTTTTAAATATCTTTGTCAATGCAAGATG